GGAGCCCGATGCGGGACTCGATCCCGGGACTCCAGGATCCTGACCTGAGCCGAAGGCAGTCGCTTAACCAACTGAGCCACCCAGGCGCCCTGAAGAACATTTTTTATTTATGAATTTGATTTTAAAAAGTCCAAGAGCGGGGCGCCTGGGTGGCTCAGTCGGTTAGGCATCTGCCTTCGGCTCAGGTCATGATCCCAGGGTCCTGGGATCGAGCTCCGCATCGGGTTCCCTGCTCAGTGGAGAGTCTGCTTCTCCCTCTCCTTCTGCCCCTCCCCCTGCTCATGCTCTCTCTCAAATAAATAATCTTAAAAAGAATAAAATAAATAAAAAATCCAAGAGCTTGATGGCAGCCTCTGTGAAGAGCTTGTGGCGGAAGGAAAAATTCTCACATATCACAGGTAGTGGTGCACGTCATACAGAGACGAGGGCAAGAGAGTGGCCGTTTCTATTCAAATTACAAGCGCAGAGCCCCTCTGTGTCAGGTGTCTTCCATCTACCCCTCCAGACCCAGCCTCCCCACTGTCACCCCTTACTTTGCTCTGGGATCCTGTCTGGTTAGGGCGCAGCTACCAGCGCCCTGGTCCTATGACTTCTGATTGGGATCAGCCAGTGACGAGCCCCAAGTAAGAGAAGGGAAGAAAAACAGTGAAGGGTATTTACCCTCCCATCCCCTGCCACTTCCCTGCACTATCCTTTTGGGCTCCCACAGGATTTTCTCCTCCCAAATTCCAGCACCTTCCCTTTGCCCAAGCCCCACTGGGTAACGGCCCCACTGTTATTAGCTCCAGGTACTATCTTCTTCCTTTTTGTTTGCCTACATCCTGCTCACACATTTGTAAATAGTCCCCTGATTAAAGTCTTTCTCAAAATATCCTAATTCAAATATCTTTTTCCTGCTGAGACCCTGAGTGGTATGACCTTTTGCCTGCAATCCTACTTCTGGAAAGTTTTTCTACACTTAGACTTGCACACATGCAGAATGACGCATGTCCAAGATAAGCCATTGCAGAAAAGACTGGAAGCAACTCAGACATCTGTCATGGGGCCTGATTACCTAAATGGTAGTGTGTCCATAGAGTAGACTACGCAACTGCTTTTTAAAAAAACAAGGAAATGCTCTTGGGTGCTGATGTCAAAAGATCTCCCAAATATATATCGTCAAGTAGAAAAAGCAGGAGTAGGACAGGGAATGTATATCTTATCTCTTGTGTTAAAAAAGGGGGAGAAATGATATATATTTGGTTTTGCTTGTGCTTAAAGATATTCTGAAGGACTCACCAAAGAATGAATAAAAGTAGTTTTCTGAAGGAAGCAAGACCCTTTGCTATTTACTTTTGTGTGTTTTTGGAAACAGATAACTCTGTCGCCTATTCCAAAGTTAAATTTAAAACTTCTCCCTGGGGACTCCTGGGTGGCTCAGTTGGTTAAGCGTCTGCCTTGGATCCCAGGGTTCTGGGATAGAGCCCCACATCAGGCTCCCTGCTCAGCAGGAAGCCTGCTTGTCCCTCTCCCCTCTGCTCATGCTCTTTCTTGCTATCTCTCTCTCTCTCAAACAAATAAATAAAATCTTAAAAATAAAAATAAAATAAATAAATAAAACTTCTCCCTGACTAGACAGGAAATTGGTCCCAGGTCCGGCTCCCAGGAGGGCAAAGGAATCCTAGAAGTGGAAACATCCTGCTCCTTTCTTGTTGTCCTGTCTTCATCTACTTTTATCTTTGTCACTTAATTACATGCTTTAGCATTGGGATCACCTAATATCGATTTCCTTTCAGATGTGAAAGTAAAGAAAAGACTTAATAACCAAGATGCTTTGGAGCCAGAATGCTTCCCCGATTAGATCACAGAATCTGTGTCTCGTGGGTAAGTGTTACTTTTGTCGGAGCTCTTGTAGGAGCAAGCCAGCCAAGTTGCCATCACCTGGAGTCCTACTGGGGAGTAGCAAATGGATGTCCCTGACTAGGGGCCCAACATCAGCCTGTCCAATGCCAAGAGCCAAATGGAATGTAGATAGGAAACCTGCACTGAGGGTCTGGAGTTTCTGCCCTACTATTAATTTTAGGAGAACAAACAAACAAGAATGACTCCATAATGATGGAGAGTATCCTCCAAGGCACTTTGAAGAGGAATTTCTCTTAATACCCTCATTCTAATCCAGGGCAGAGTTTCTCACTCTACTCCCCTACTTAGGAAGAGGCCAAACCCCTTATCTCCCACCGCTTCACCAGACTGAAAGGTCGGCCCTGAACTTTGGTTTCTGGGCTTCATTTATTCTTGACTTTTTTCCTGTAGTCCTATGCCGCTTTTTCTCTACCTTTCTTTTGATTCTATTTCAGTGTCCCTGGGTCATCTGTTCCATAGTTTACCAGTAGGGGATCCATGAGGGGGACACTTCTCCCCTATGCAGGCCTGCCCATGCCTGTAACCGCTCCCTTCCCAAGTCACTGTGACAGCCAGAAAGCAAAGGAGAGTCCCCAGTTCCCATCACCAGCGATTTTCTTCCTACACCCCCCTTGACAAATGTCTTAATCTTTAAAGTGTATTAACTGACAATATGCGTATTCATATTCTGAGACTTTTTCCAGACACATAGCTAGCTGCTTCTCGGGGCTCTCTCCCAACCCATCAGCCCTGTTATTCACAGCAACCCCTAGATAGATTTCATTTTGGATTCAATCAAGTTGAAACCCATGGACCATGTGCTGATGATACCCACATCAATCCTCCAAGAACCATTTGCTTGAGCATTCTTTTTTTTAGCACAAGGAAGTCTCAATCCAATGTCAAGACATGTACGAAAGAATGCCAGACTCAGAGCGAGAATTACAAATTGAGGCTGGAGAGAGTATTTTTGCTTGTCTCATATATTTTTCTTCTTCCTAGTGTGTATCAGCCTTGTGTTTGGTGCGTTATCTTCGTTGCCTGGTAAGAGATTTTCTTGGCTTGAGTGAATTTTGTGGAAGGGCCAGAGTACTGGGGCAACCATTCAGAAATCTAAAATGTGGGGAATTTGATTTCTGATCCCAGATGTTTTGCCAGTTTTGTTTGAATCCTTTTTCTTAGATTTTCTCAAATACTCTTTTTTTTCCTCTGTCAAAGGAGCGAAATTTAGCCAAATTTGCACATTTGTCTCTCAAAACTCTTATAAGAAATTAATACCAAAAAGAAAAAAGAGGGAAAGAAAACACCAGAAGTCATTTTAAAACTCCTTAAAAGAATATTCAATTTCAAACCCCTTAATCGAAGAATGAGGAAGCACAGACTATGTCAAACAGAAAGCGATCCAGAAATAATTTCCCCTTAATTTGCATTCTTCCACGTGCTCTCTGGTACCTGGTGCCAGATAAAGGAAAATACTCTTTTTAAACCAAACATCTTGCCTACATCTGTAAATCTGTCTGCATAATCTCACTCTGCATTAACTCTATATCCAACCTTGTGATGAGCACAGGGGATGAAGAGGTCACAGCCAAGAAGCAGAGTCCTAGGTCCGAACCACAGGCAACTTAAAGGATCATAAAAATTGAATTTGAAAAAAAAGAAAGAAAAGACCTGAATATGAACGGGATTTGACCACTATAGTTTTCGAATCTCACTTGCCGCTGCCTCTTCCCAGCTACATAACATTATGTAACTCAACTTCTCAGTTTCACGGTCTGTAGAATGGGTCTCTTCCTAGGACCGACTTCAGCATTGTTGCTCAGATTAAGTGCCTGGAAAGGGCCAGTCTGGACATGCATTATCTGTCCCTTCCTTCCGTAACCAGGGAATAAATGCAATGGAAGTTTAGCAGAGGGAAAGCAGGTGGTGGGCCGAGCCACTTAGGGGGACTACAGGAAGAGTTGGAGTTGAGTTGAGAGAATGAGGTGGACATGAATCCTTTTGATCCGATGAACCGCTGAGAGTCCATGATAACTGAGGGAGGCCAAATCTTGTTTCCACAGTGCTGAGTTCTGGTTCCTAAGCTTGCCTGCCCTAACGATGTGTTGCTCATGAATTAGTTATATTACTTCATTTCTTGTGTCCACTAGAACCATATCCTTCCCGTGTTCCCAAGACCCTGGGGTTTCTCTGCTGGGCGTGTGGGCTCCAGGTCCCAAGGGACCGATTAGACAACCCTGGGTTCCAGATTTCAGTGTTTCTTTTTTCTCTCCTGTTTCCTTTAGATTTATCAGATAAATCTTGCACTTTCAAGGTGACGTTACACAATTTCCGGGTCATCTTATCGTGGGAATTAAAAAACCATTCCATTGTACCAGATCACTATACATTACAGTACACAGTTATAAGGTTGGTTTGACATTTCATTTTTTTCTTGTTAAATATATTCGCTTTCTATTAATTGGGGAGTGGGGAAGGGTCATGATCTTCCTTGTGATAGAGCTCCTCTCTTCTCTCCCTCTCTCTCTCTGTTCTGAGTTCAGAGCTTTAAAAGTCCAAGTCCACTTTTAATTGAATTGAGTACTTTAACAACCTCAAACTGGTTTTGACAAAGCTTGTATTTATAATCATTTCTATGGGTCAGAGCTGCAGAAGCAAAATAATTACTATGAATGGTTTTCACAATTATTTCTCTCAGTCAGTCAGTCTGGACATTTAAAGAACAGTTTTTCAAGAAATAAATAAATGAATGAATGCACTGTTTTCTGAGGACTGGAGTCCAAAGATCTGGTGACCATATTGATGTTAGGTTCACTTTTCTTTATTCAGGGAGCCGTGTGGCACATCAGAAAGCTGCCTGGCCGAGACCAGGAGAGGCCTAGGTCCACAGTCTGGCTTGATCACTGATTGGCTGTGACCTTGGGGCACAGAGCTCAGCTTCTCTGATCCGAGTGTCCTACTTAGGGGTGCTGCAAAGATGAATGACATAATGGATGGAACCCTCAATGGCTCTCTTCTTCCGATGTCTAATGTCACCCTTCTAGGCTGTTACTTTGATCCAGTTGGCCCTCCAAGTGTTCTTTTGTTTGCTGTTTATTTGGCTAAAAGCTGTTACTACCATTGACTGACCCAGTAGAAGGCCTCTTGCAAGTTTCTCTGGTGCCTGCCAAAGTCTTAGTCTCTCTCTGTGTTAGGCAGTCACATGTATCACCCATTTACCTTTCTGAAGCTCAAGAAATCAGATATCTCTCTTGTCCCTACATAGCACAGGCTGACTTGGGACTGGACCATGTGATCCTCAGCTGGAGAGAGGGTTTCGGGGAGGACACTCATGATTGTTCTGTGGAGACTGGGAGATCTGGGGCCTTTACCACAAAAGCGTAAGGTTTGCTCATTCATTCATCCAGCAAATACTTACTGAGCACCTACTGCATGCCAGGGGTCGAACCATGAACCAAAGTCCTTGACCTCCTGCGGCCTAGAGCAGATATTCTGAAAGTAGGCAGAGATATCAATAAACAAATAAAGATATAATGTGGTAGGTGCTGGTAAACAGTGTGCAGAAAAATAAAGACAGACAAGAGGGATTAGGAGAGAAAGGGGGAACACGATGGGGTAAGGTGTATTTCCATTTTAAATAAAGTGGTTAGGGAAGATGACTTGATACAGGGATATTTGGGCAGAGCCATAAAGAAATGAAGAAGCTGGGCATGCAGTTAGTGGATTCTCATCATATAAATGCTGAAGTTTTCCTTTTATCATTTCTTTTCCTTTCAAAGTAGACCAGACCATGTGAAGATTGTGGAGCACTGTTCAAATATCACAGCATCATTCTGTGACCTAACAGATTTGTGGGAGGTCCTGCCCGAGACGTACGCCATCACAGTTGATGGATTCAGAGGGAACACAACGCTGGTCACGTGTTTCATCGATTTCTTCCTGGCAACACAGAGTGAGTGGATCTCTGTTTATCATCTTCAGCAGCAGCAGCAGCAGCAGCATCAAGTGCATCAGTATTTGCTTTGCTATGAAATAGAAAGGTCTGCAAAGGGTGTCTCAGACTCAGGGCTAGGTGCACCACCTGACCCTGCCACTTTCCTAGCTCTGAAGTATTTACTTTGCTTCTCTGAGCCTCAGTTTTCTTATCCAAAAGGTGGGATGATGGTCTGTACTTTGCAGAGGATTCCTCTATGCCTGAGTGAGGCAGGTATTCCGGCAGCAGTGGCCACTACTTTCTGGTATATTTCAGAAGCTGATAGGAAGTAGATAGTGAGGTCCAGATGGCCTGTATCTGAGCTGTCACAACTCTTTGGGCCAGTGTTCTCCTTAATACTGCAACCCCTCCCCCGGATCATAACCCAGTAGCTCTTATCTATGTCAGTTCCCAGACTCAGAGAAGACCGGAGCCCAAGAGTGGATCTGCCTCTCTCTTCTTTCCCTGTGACTGGAGTCAGGTCCCTATGGCACTTGCCTTAACATTCCCAGTGTCAGTGGTCCTCAGCCAGACTCCAGCACTTCTTCAGTGTCTTAATGTGCAACCTGTTTCCAAGAGAAAGATTCTGTTTCAGCTCCCTGTTAAAGGCTGTGTGGGTGTGCACTCACACATATGTGCTTATTATTATTAGCAAAGTGATAATGACCGAATCCCACTGTCACAAACAACCTAGATAGGAGATTCACTGGAATTGTGTGTATATGTTTATGTGTGTGTAGAAATGTACATATCTGTGTGTGTATAAAAAAAGAAAAGAAAGAAAAGCACAACTTCTAGATCATGGTATTCAGACTATTGCAGAAACGATATTAAAGTCAGAAAGATGTCATTTTTCAAGACTCAAGATGGTAAATATGAGGGCTCTGGGCAGGGGGAAGATGGCAGATGAGTAGGGGACCCTATTTCAGCTGGTCCCCGGAATTGAGCTGGGTATCTACCAGACCACTCTGAGCACCCACGAAACCAGCCTGAGATGTAAGAAGATCTGGATCTCTACAAACAGAATATCGCAGGCGGTTGGTTTCAGGGTACGAAGCGGGGAGTCGTGATTCTGCGGGCAGATATCCGAGGATAAAGGCGGCGGGAGGGAGCCTGGCCCTGGGGATCCTACACCGCCGGTGAGTGACAGCCTCGCGGGCTGCGGATGGGCACAGACTCGCAGACCGGTAATGCCGGGGAAAGGACTTTAGGGCAGCCCCCGGGGTGGAGGACCAGACCGGCAGGGTCGCACGCAGGCGAACTGCAGCCCACCCACCCCCACCCCCACCCCCCGCTATAGAAACTGGAGCGACGGTCGAGCGCACGCGAACTGCAGCCTCCAAGACGGAAACCTGGTGCGCAGGGGTCG